CTCCATTACACTCGCGTTGTCTCAAAACCTTCTCTCTGTCTGCGTCTGTCTCTGACTGTCACCTTGACCCTCCCACAGTTACGAGCCCAGGCACAGACAGAGATGAAGGCGGTGAGATCTGAGGCCATGCAGAACCGTCTTGTCATCAGAACAGCGCGCCATCAGCAGGCTGGCGTTTCCCTAGCGCCCCTAGCACCATCTGGTGGCAGCACAGCGAGGGCGAAATAGCCCAACCTCTCTACATAGTGCCTCACTTAAATGATTATATTATAGGAATACACTGATACTTTTATGTTCAGAGCTATTTGGAAAATATATTTTTGAGCTGTTTTGTTGAATTGGATTTTGAAAGAGATTGTTTGGGATGTATTTTTGTATACAATGTTGTTTTTTTTTTTAAATATCATTACTTTGTTCTGCAGTATTCTTTAAAGAATTTTGTCTGTTGGAGAAGTGTACATTGATGTTAGTGCATGGTTTTGACTTTCTAGCGAATGGCAATTGTTGTTTTTTTCCCTATTAAGTTTTGCAGAGTACTGAGAATTTCTTGAATATGTACATTTCAGTTGAACGTTTCAAGTACTGTACGTGTTTGTTCTGATGTATATTGAGTTATATGACAGAGCAACTAGAATGTCTTTTTGTCTCCATTACTGACAAACATCAAAGGAAACAAAACTGATATGCGTTTTTGCTGGTAAAAAGTCATACATGTCAAATGTTTGTCATGTAACAATTGTCCCATTAAAGGGGTTTTAAAATAGTCATCTTTCTGGATGAAGTGTCTGATTATCTCCACAACCTGACAATTCAGAAAACACCCACTAAAGGTTGCATCTTTGTCAAAATTTAGGCAGTTGCAACATTTTGAAGCCATCATTTTGAGACATGCCCTTACTTTTTGCTACCAACTTAAAAGAAAAACTTGAAGTTCAAAAACTGACAACTGATTTCCCAAGAAATTTAGTAGCAATGATTGATAGGTTTGCCTTTTACTTATTCTTTGACTTGTAGTTGTGTTGTTCTTGTCAGTGCCATGATTTGTATAGCCTTGGTTTTTGTTCATGATTCATTGTTGTTGGTGGCGCAAAACTGTTTTTGATGAACTCACTCAGGACAGATGTTGCCAGGGACCAATGTTGGAATTTTTTCAAACCTGGCTATACAGAAGTTGAATTTCAAGAAAAATGTTCTTTGGTTTGGTTCAGGAAATCTTTTGAACTTTTTTTTATCAGTACCGACCACCACTGAAGGTCACGTCTTGGACCTGTTGTGTGGTACAGATAATCTATTGATGATTTGATTCCACTTCTTTTCTCATTCCAAGCTCCTGCTGTGCTGGACAGAGGAAAGAGCAGAATCTTTTCTCCAAAGCACCCAAGCAGTTGTAATATTTGAGACAGCATAGTGAAAGCAGGCATTCATTAAAATAATGAAAGTGAAGAAACTGGCATTTTGCCACAGCTTTGGGAATTTTTATTGAATTTGAACTTTTTGGCTCAACACCTATCATGCCCATGTGGATTTTACTGAAAAAGTTTGGTTAAAGGCACTAAAGATGTAAATTATAAGTTTCCACAGACTCTCAAGCTAAGGAAATAACTAAACTTTGGCGGCCATTTTCTCGCTAATTTTATCTCTGAAAACAGGCTACCCCACCTCTTTTACTTGCAAATATCTTGACTTCTTTCCTAGATAATCAGATTTTTTTTTCATCAAAAGCAAGGCATGCAAATGGACAGGCTTTAAGATGATACCGATAACTCCATATGCCCAAAAATTGATGAGCGCCTGGTTCCACCAAGTTGTGACACATATTGTATACCGAGTTTTCCAGTCAAATAAGAAATAGTTCTGATGCTGAAGGAATTGTTGATGGGTCCCGTTCTGGTGTATCCAGTTGTGTCAGAGGAGACTTTGATGTTTTGGTGTAGAGTCCTGGAGGGTTAATCTTATATATATCTGGATGATGTTAAAATGTTAAAATCTCAGTTATTTATCATTTTGTCATTCGGGGGGG